TTGCTATTGCTATTGCTATTGGTAATTGTGAAAGCAAAATCCAGAGGTAGAGCAGTGTTTGGTCTAACCCAGTTTGAGTGCTCTGCTTAAAATAATACACACTTTATCAATTCCCAAGAAGCTTTGGGGGAAATTGTAGCAGTTTAAATGTTTTAAAGGTAAGGGTAAAAGTTTCCCCCATCCAGTCATATCCAATGCTAAGGAATGATGCTCATCTCCGTTTCTTAGCTGAGGAAGACATTTCTCTGGTTATGTGGCCAGCATGATTACACACCAAAGGTGCACAGAGCACTTGTTATGTTTTATTTGCCTTTCCATGCTTTTGAACTGCTAGTTTGGCACAGCTGGAGCACGTAATGGGAGGTCACCCCATCGTGCTAGGGACTCGAACCTGGGCTGTCAGCTTTCCAACTGACAAGCTCAGCGTCTTTAACCACTGATCCACTGCACTGGAATCTATTCTGTTTTTCAATTCAAACTTTATTACATGTTTTTTTTAAATTATATATAGTCTCTCTTATGAAGAATTTCTGAGGGGACGAAAAAGAGGCAAACATTTATCTTTGTTTAAAAATATCAGGTCTGCCGGATTTTTGTACCCCAATTCTTGCAAAATGTCTGAAAATGGAATACATTAACCAGAAACCTGATCAACTGACTATAAATCAGTATGAACCTGGACAAGGTATGTACCTGGGTTCTATATCATTCTCACCTGATCTGGGATCAGATTTTCAAGTTTTGTAAATCCAGCATTGGGGAAAATTGTTCAGTGTGGAGATGTGAGAAAACTGAGGAGAATTGGCAGTCCTTAGGATAAGGATACCGTATTTTTCGGAGTATAAAACGCATCCTTTTCCCTTAATACAACATTTTTTGCCTCCCGAAGCCTCCCCCTTCACCAAAATGGCTGTGCATAGTCTTTAGGAGGCTTTCAGAGAGCTTCTGGGTGCTGGGGAGGGCAGAAATGAATGAAAAATGGGCTGTTTTTTGCTCAATTTTGCCCAGCTCCCAGGAACACTCTACAAAGGCTATCCATGCCCTTTTTTGACAAAAAAATGGGCCTGTTTTCATGAAAAACCAGCCTTTTCTGCTCGTTTTTGCCCCCCCCCCCAAGCACACTACAAGCTCCTAAGGGCTATTCATGCCCTTTTTTGGGAAAAAAACCAGGCCATTTTCGTGAAAAATGGGTCGTTTTGGGGAGGTTTGCAAAGTGCAAAACTTTTTTTTTTTTACTTCTTCAAAACCTTGGTGGTCTTATACTCCGAAAAATACGGTAAGTACCCGTGACTGTAACATAAAAGCAAGTATTCTGTATTAATAAGATCATAGCAGTGCTACCTTTAATCAGTTTTGATCAGCCAACTTGAACAGTTATAATGCTGTACTTTTAGGCTGCCCATTGATATCAGACTTCATATTTTTTGCAAGCCTGCACATTCTTTACTGCCGAGCTAGAGTTCGTGACCCTATAGAACAGGCCTGTTAACTGGTGGCCCATGGGGCGGATGTGTCACGTGCAGGCCACGCCCATGCCGGCTCCACAAAGGTGAAAGTTGCGATACGTCATGATACATCATGTGACACGATCGAGTTTGAGACCCGTGCTATAGAAGGAAGAAAATAAAACAAGCATATCTTCTGCATTACGGTATTCTAAACATACCGAGATGGCACAGTGGTTAGAATGCGGTATTGCAGGCTACTTCAGCTGACTGCTAGCTGCAGTTTGGCAGTTCAAATCTTACCGGCTCAAGGTTGACTCAGCCTTCCATCCTCCCGAGGTGGATTGTTGGGGGCAATATGCTGACTCTGTAAACCACTTAGAGAGGGCTGTAAAAGCCCTATGAAGCGGTATAGCGGAAGTCTAAGTGCTATTGCTATATGACCATATAATCACAATAATGCAACAGTTTGGGTGAGAAATCCACATCTGCTTCATAAGATCTATTTCCCACCATTTTGTGTACCTTTGTTCCCCAAATAAATGTCATCAGAGGGTTGCAGGGAATTGCAGTATATTTTCTACACTAAAAAGTAGGACTAATGATGAATAAAGGCTGATTGATTCTTTATGTGTCTGTTTTTATTTGATGTTATAGGAATCCCTCCTCATATTGATACTCATTCTGCTTTCGAAGATGAAATAATATCTCTAAGTTTAGGAGCTGAGGTAATTTTTTTTAAAAAAAAATCTTTCAAATATTTCTCCTAGAAGTTAAAAGCACGTTAATTTGTATTTGTTGCTTTATCTTGTACCTGTTCCTTGCAAAGCTTGTACTTCCAGTAGGTAAGTCATTTTTCTTGAAAAGGCACTGTCTTCTAGGTTTGACTTTTCTGGAGTGAACACGGCAACTAGAGAAATAGTTTACTGTAGGAGCCTTTATAATAACTTAGGAACGTTCTTTCCCAATGCGGTATCTTCTGCAAATTGTATCCCCAGCGCATCCGGAAAGGGCAAGTTTGGGAAGGCTGCTGTGAAGATAGATAATGATTTCATGCTTCTTATTTAACCATGGTTTCTTCAGCTATTCTATAAAATTACATTATCATTTTTACTAAAGTCAATAGCATTTTTAAAGTAGGATTTGGATACCCATATATATGGAAATTAGCCCTTTTTCAGTGGGATCTTCTTATAATGTTACTAGTTGATGACCCGGCGTTGCCTGGGTATTTATAGATGTTGAAATGTTCGTCTGACAGGGAGCCATTGAGAGGGGCCTTTTTTCCCCCTACTCCCATACCCATCATTCCTTCCCTCTCTCTTCCCTCTCCCATGCGCTCCTCTTTCCCACCCTGTCTACGATCCTGGCACTTTGCCCCAAATCCAATGGGCACTTCCCCATTGGACCCACATCACGGCTGGCTTTCCAGAGGAAGCTGCGAAGGAACAGACATCACAAACAATTGCCATTCTAGGACGCAGCACTCACTCTCCCTAATGGCCCAGGCTCTTCCTTCTCCCATGACATCACAAACAATTGCCACTCTAGGACACGGCACTCAGTCTCCTTAATGGGCCAGGCGTTCCAGAGTTATGCTGGAAAACACACACACACACACACACACACACACACACACACACCAGGGGTGTCCCGTCTCCCCCAAGTATTTGTTTCCAGAGGGTAAGTCATCTGCGTACCAAGTTTGGTTGAAATTGCTCGAGGCTCTCCATAGTTATGCTGGAACGAACGAACGAACATACATACATACATACATACATACATACATACATACATACATACATACATACATACATACATACATACTTGCATATCTATCTGTCCTCCCATCCATCGATCCTTCCATCCATCCATCCATCCATCCATCCATCCATCCATCCATCCATCCATCCATCCATCCATCCATGGAATCTATATTTGGAAATCGTACCAATGTCTGGAAAGGACTGGACTAAAAGACAGTCCTGAGGCATTGATTAAACCAGCACAGGAACAGGGCTTAAGCACCAGATCCATAGAAGCAGGGGTCTACCACACTAGAAGAAGACCAGAGGAGGCTGAACAGAGGGGCCTCAGATAAAGCGCAATACACAGTGGCAGGGTGTAAGATGTAGGCCGGAACAGCATACACTGGAGGGTACAATCAAGCGGCTGGCATTGTGCACTTTTCCTGAACATTCTTATTGTCTTAGTTTGAAATGAGAGAGCAAACTCAGATTGCAGTTCTTGGCTTTGCTTTCAGGACATCAAAGACTATACAGTTTTCTTAGCTTAGCTGCTAAATTACCTTAGTCCCATAGCAGATTAGGAATTCCGCAAGTTGCAGCCCCAGCATACAGTATATATTGCGTATTCTATTGAGGCAATATATATCTATTTCATACATTTGCTGACAGCTCCTTTCTGAGGGGAAAAACTCCAGCTGTTCTTAAAAATTAGTTGCCTAAGGAGGAAGGAAGATTTTGCTTTCTCTTGTCTTCACCCAGGAGCCATCCTGCCTCTCTACCTGTTGAATTTTTAATGCCAGAAGAGGATTTCATAGAAGTATTTCTGCTGCCAGCAGAGCTCCTGGAGGGAGTCATGCCTAAGAAGCCTTTGTAAATGAGAAATTATTTTATTCTGCTATTTTATACGTTATTTATAAAATGTTCCTGGCATTGAAGTATTTCCCCCTCCTCTTTTGTTCAACCTGGTCAGAAACTTTTGGCTTCTTGTCTTTCTACTTCAGTTACGTAGGCTGACAACTGATGTATAGAAAAGAAAACTTGAAGTGTAAAAGAAGGAGAATCTGAATTATTTCAAAGATGAGGTACACTGCAGACAAGCATTGACTTTAAGTTGAGTAGGTTTATCAAGTCCCATTTTATCCTGTCTTCAACCTTCCCTTTTTGGGGATGGTTGTTGAGAAGGTATTCACACTGTAGCTTCAAAGGATCCTGGAGGAAATGGATTATCTAGATCCCTTTCAATTGAGTTTCAGGCCCTAATATGGGACAGAAATGGCATTGTTTATGTTTTTTGTTGATCTCTGATGGGAATGAGACAGGGGTGATGTGGCTTACTCCCTTCTTGATCTATTTGTCCTTTCAGTGGCTTTTGATAACATTAACCATGGTCTGGCTTCAGGAGCAAAGAGCACAGTTGTACTAGAATAGAATAGAATAGAATAGAATAGAATAGCAGAGTTGGAAGGGATCTTGGAGGTCTTCTAGTCCAACCCCCTGCCTAGGCAGGAAACCCTATACCATTTCAGACAAGTGGCTATCCAACATCTTCTTAAAGACTTCCAGTGTTGGGGCATTCACAACTTCTGGAGGCAAGCTGTTCCACTGATTAATTGTTCTAACTGTCAGGAAATTTCTCCTCAGTTCTAAGTTGCTTCTCTCCTTGATTAGTTTCCACCCATTGCTTCTTGTTCTACCCTCAGGTGCCTTCGAGAATAGTTTGACTCCCTCTTCTTTGTGGCAACCCCTGAGATATTGGAACACTGCTATCATGTCTCCCCTAGTCCTTCTTTTCATTAAACTAGACATACCCAGTTCCTGCAACCGTTCTTCATATGTTTTAGTCTCCAGTCCCCTAATCATTGTTGCTCTTCTCTGCACTCTTTCTAGAGTCTCCACATCTTTTTTACATCGTGGCGACCAAAACTCAATGCAGGGTTCCAAGTGTGGCCTTACCAAGGCATTATAAAGTGGTATTAACACTTCACGTGATCTTGATTCTATCCCTCTGTTTATGTAGCCCCCTCCTTGCTCCTTTTCTGAAAAACCTTGAAGACATGGTTTTGTCAGTGGGCCTGAGGATCCCAGGTTGATTTGGAGCTGAACAAGAGGCTTGTATGATAGTGTTTGTCGCTGCTGTACGGTGAGGGATGGAAGTCAGATGCCTTTATATTGTTGCTTTTTAACGTTGTAGGCCAGAGTTGGTGAACCTTTTTGGCACCAAGTGCCCAAGCCGGAATGTGCCTGCATATGCATGCTGGCCGGCTGGTCTTTGCAGATGCCGGAGTGCCAGAAAATGGCACTCGAAAACCAGCCTGAATACAGTCCAAAAAACAGCCTGAAAAGGGTCCAAAAAACAGCTTGTACAGTACAGGTTGTAAGTTGACCTGTAATATATAGTTTTAACTGAGTTTAAATAAAATCACGTAAAACTGTATTCAACCCTTAATTTTGGCTCCTGGGTGCAAAGTAAAATAGAAAGCAACCTTAGACCAGGTTAAACTGTTGATCCATCTGCTTTGGATGAAGTTCCGGTGATGGTAAACATGCCCTTCCATTAAAAGGTGGCAAAAAGCACTACTTATCCTCATGTCAGAGAAAAGGAACATGAGAGTAGTTCAATAACTTTGAAGAAGTGTTTAGGAAAATAGCATATTATGTAGCTGGACTTGTCTAGCTGGTCATTATGGCACCATCAACAGAAGCAATACAGGTGGAAAGAGAGTAGCATTTAAAAAAAGCCTCCAACTTTAAATTAGTGGTTTTCAGACCCTTTGCCTTTAGGAAAGCTTTTATAGATTCATTGGCCTGTCAAATCAAATAACCTCTTGAAGCCACAGCCTGTTCTTAGCTCGACTGCTCTGGCATTTCAGGCTGATGATTATCATCGGGGAATTGGAATTGTCAGTGATGAGCAGGGGTTTAGGTGTCCTTGTCCAAATTATTTGCAGTGGGACATCTTTTGTAAAGGGATTAGAACATGCTGGTTAAGAGTTCTTGCATGCTTCCTGCTAGCCTCCTGTAGGCTGCATGAAAAAGAATAAGCCCCTTCAACAGTTTTCAGAGTACAGTGTGTACCTCATCTCAGCAGTCTATAAAACCGGCTTTGAAGATGAGATTCAAGATTAGCTGCATGGAATATTTTCCTCTAAGGTGAAAGTTCCCCTCACACATATGTGCTAGTCGTTCGCGACTCTAGGGGATGGTGCTCGTCTCNATGTGAGTAGATAAATAGGTACCGCTTTGGTGGGAAGGTAAATGTATTCTGTGTTTGTGGGAAATCCATGGATTTCTCTTTGCATGTCTCCAATCGCACATTTTTCACAAGACCAGAATTATTCAGCAAACTCTCAGATTAATGCGACATTACTGACTGAATTCATTAAATCTTTTAGCATGCTATAATTAGAAAGTCTACTTTTTAATTCATGTCCCAAACCAGAATACCAAATATGAAGCACATTTTTTTCAAAAAAGAAAAAGAAAAAAAATTAATCTTGTAGCATTTAAAAATATTTTAATAATGGGTAACGTTCTGGAACTGAGAGGCCTTTTCTTTTCCTCCCTGCTTCGAAGCTGAATAAATGTTAAATAAAGATTCCCAGATTAATTGACCGGCTATATCCATGATTGCGAACCTATGGCATGCATGCCCCAGGTGGCAAGCAGAGCACTCTCTGCAGGCTGTCGCCCCAGCTCAGCTCCACCACGCATATGCGCATGCCTCCCGCTGGCTGCTGTTTTTTGGGTTTCTGCTGTGCATGTGTGGGATGGTAAGGCACATGTGAGACACACGCACGGATGGGGAGTATACGTGGGGTCATGCGTATGGTTGTGTGCGCAGTGCAGGCGTGGGGCACATGCACGGGGTCGTGCACTCATGCACGGGGGGCAGAGGGAACATAGAATCCTGTGCGCATGCACAGAGCTAGAGTACATGCAGGGGGTGTCACGTATGCATTGTTTTATGGGTGCGGGCACACACTTTCGGCACAAAAAGGTTAGCCATCACTGGGCTATATA